GACCTGCGGAGGGGTTCTGTTACTAGGCCGTCGTGACCTTGCCCCTCTACCACCGCTGCTCCGACCTCCCTCTGGTGGGCATCGCTGGCAGCTAGAGTTCTTCGATCTGCCGTATTGGTCGAGTTTGCTGGTTGAACCATTTTCGCTCGCGTGTTTGTTTAAAAGAATTGGGATGACTTAGATTGTCTCCCCACAGACGGCGCCAAATTTTTATGCAAGGATATGCACAACAGTGTATTTCTGATTGCAGCTCGAACTCGGTCTCCGGACCGATCTGAACACTTGTGCGGACCTGCACAAAAAGGTGAGCACTCCGATGATCAAGTCAGTATAGGTCGGATTCCCAGTTTAGTTCGAGGTAAAAAATCATCGTACCTGATCGTGGAGTGAGGTCCTATACTTATGGGTGGTAGTCCCGTTAATCTCGCGACGGTTACACCCGGTGATCTCGGGACCAACGGTTTCACCCGGTAATCTCGGGACCGACGGTTACACCCGATAATCACGCCGCTGACAGTTGCTCACATCGGACCCACCGAGCTTCCCGGTAGATCGGACCTTGACCAGGTCGCACTTCGGCCCTCATACTTAGCACCTGTCAACGCTGGTGGTGGTAATCTCGGCAGTTCGAGCTGGGCATGACTCATGAGTCATCTGGGAACACCAATAGTTGTCCTCTACGTGTCCAGGGTATTCTCTCCCCCAAACAGAAAGTATTTGACTCGTCAAAACCTGACAATTAAGAGGAAGAAATGCAAAAACAAAAAATATTTTTAGAAAATGATGAGTTGTCAAATATTTAATGGTGGTAAGGCCAAGATTCCTCCCGAATCAAGTATTTTCTACAAAAAGAAATAACATCCAATTAAATAATTTTTTAATAAATCTATTTTTATGATAAAAAAAAGAAGAAAGAAATAAAATAAAATTCTTTTTTCTTTTACATATCTATATATATAGGTTACGTACTATCGATATTGAAGCTGACACAAATAGTAATTAAAATACTATAGATTTAAAAAACCATATAAACAAATTGAGTTTACAACTTTTCATGAAATTTTAACTAACAGAAATTTTTAGAATTGAAAAATCAATCATATATATCAAAAGGGTAGAGTAAAATTTGCCTCCCGTAATTAAAATTCTTGGCTCTCGTTTCACGGCCACTGACTATAACTAATCTCTTACCTCAATGTGGATCTCACGTAATTTAGGGCTTCTTTGGCAACGGTTTTATTTTCTATTTCTCGTTTCTTGTTTTCTATTTCTATTTTTTTTAACTAGAAATAGGAATATGTTTGATAACTATTTCATATTTCTTGTTTCTATTTTTTCTTTTTTTACAATAATTTGTAGGGGTGAAATTCGAACCTACTACAATCTATTGACCGAGAATTTATACCTTACTCAGGTTAACTAATTTTTATTTTTAATTAAATAAAATTTAATAAATATAATATAAAAAGATATAACATAGACTCAAAAAATTATTTATTAAAGAAAATATAATTTAGAATATAAGTTTATTTGATATAAACGTATCCATTATTAGCTTATAAAGAATAAAGTTTCAAAATATTTTTAACTTAAAAAATAGAAATTTTTTTATTTAATAAAATATAATAGCTTTTAATAAAGAATAAATTATCAAAATATTTTAAGTTAAAAAATATAAAACAAAAATAAAAAAAAATTTATAGTTTATTAAAAAATATAATTTACAATATAAACCAATATAAAAGTATAAATTATTAGTTTAAATAAAGAATAAAATTTTAAAATATTTTTAATTTAAAAAATAGAAATTTTTTTGTTCAAGAAAATACAATAGTTTTAAATTAAAATAAATTTTGATTAAAAAATATAAAATATAAAAAAAAGAAACAAAAAATTGATATTTTACATCAAATGGGGTTTGAATCTTTGCCTCTTATTCAATTTGGGTCAGATGCACCATCACTGTGTTTCATAAAAAATTGTGACAAATATATTATTTAACCTTAGATAGCGCCTAAACATAAAATGAAGAAACAGAAACGACAAAAACGAAACTACATTTCATAGTTCCAAAAATTGGTCCCTTTTTTGGAAACGTTTTTCAAAATTTAGAAACAAGAAACGAGATTGGTTACCAAACATGTCTGTTTCTCAGAGAAACGAGAACAAGAAACAGGAAACAAGAACGTTACCAAACGAGACCTTAAATTCTTTATTTTTTATATCAACAATGCTTATCTACACATTCGCCAATAAAAGTGTATTTTAATTTTATTGACCTATTTCTACTGAATTGAATAGATACCACTATAACTTTTGAGCGGATAAATATTATACCACATCAAAATAGTCAATAAGAACATTTTTAGCAGATAAATATATACCACATCAAAAATAGTCAGTAAGAACTATTTGTGACGGTTGAATGAGAAATTTCGGCTAATTACTAAAGGCCACGTCACAAAATTAAAATTACATTTAGGATCAATGATAAAATTACACGTGTCCTAAATTAATTTTAAAGAATTGATAAATCAAATTATGCCACGTGTCTCCCTTGTGGTCGTCCGATGAAATCAACTAATTGGATAAAAACCCATGAATAGACCAGGCTCAAGCCCATGGCCCATTAAGCCCATGGCCCATATAAGACTCACCAAGACTCTATAAATAGAGGGGATCGAAGAGCCAGAAGAAAGGGAGAAGAAGCCAAGAGGAAGAAGAATTGGAAGAGGTCTAGAAGAATTGAAGATTAAGAGCACTCATAATCGTCTACAATCCTTCGGAGTCAAGTGAAGCATCCAAAGCCAACAAGATTGGAAGAATTAGAGACTTGAAGAGTACGAGACTTCAAGAACATTGAATATTCTCCCCCAAGCAACAATACTTGAAGACTCCATCAAACTGCAAAGTCTTCATCAAAACTGACTGAAGAACTTCCACAAGCAGCGCAAAGTCGAAGCACTTCACAATCTGCAAAGCCGAAGAACTTCACAAGCTACAAAGTCGAAGAACTTCAACAAGCTGCAAAGTCGAAGCACTTCACAAGCTGCAAAATCGAAACACTTCACAAGCTGCAAAGTCAAAGAACTTCACCAGCGCAAAGCCGAAGACTGTACAAAGTCTTCATCAAGCTACAAGCCAAAGAACTTCATCAATAAGTCAAAGTCTTCAAACAAACTCAAAGTTGAAGACTTCGAAGATCCTTCGTCAAGCGAGAAGCTGAAGGCATCAACCATTCAATAACAAGCTCACGAGCCATTGAATTAAGGTTTACATTTGAGAGAATTAATCAGAGGATTATACATTAGAGATTGTAACACCCACATACATAAATACAAATACAAGTTCATTAATTCGAGTTTCCCTTATTGAATTTCTCGTCGAACAGTGACTAATGTATTATTTTTCTTTTCCTATCGACATTAATTTTTGTATTTCTTCGACCAAAGAGCATATAACTCAACTAATTAAAACATATATTCAAAAGATCGAAATTCGAATCCCACCCCAAGTATTCAACTACAGCTTCAAACAAGATCATGTCAAGGAATTAAGCTATGAAAAAATTACAACATAAACACACCCTGAAAAGACAGTTTCACCAACATTTCACTACAAAAACATCAGCTACAAATCAGTTTCAGTGTTTCCTTAACCAAAATTCCAACAAATACAAACAAACCCACATGATCAACTTCCACATATATCCCTCCAAAAACTAATTCTAATATTTCAGATTCAGATTCAGATTCAGATTCAAATGAAATGAGATCTTATCTTACTTCTTGGCATTGTACATAGATTCCACCTTCCCATCATTCCCTCCCAACAACAGATACTTATCCTTCCTTGTCAGCGCCGTGCATTCAAACCCCAGCACGCTCCCCAGCATCCTCTGCACATTATTCGCCACCTCGATCGCCGTCTTCCCTCCCCCCTTGCACGTCATCTCCTCCGGCAACCTGTCGAGAAACCGAACCTCGTA